TGTTGTCCTCTTTGAATTCCTCTTGTTTAGGGTTCTCTTCGCTTCCTGGACTTGTAAGTCTATTTCTTTCATCAGGTAGGGTAAGTTTTCTGTCATGATTTCTTCTAATATGCTTTCAGTATCTTGCTCTCTCTCTTCTTCTGGCACCCCGATAATTCGGGTGTTGGTACATTTGAAGTTGTCCCAGAGGCTCTTTACACTATCTTCCTATTTTTGGATTCTTTTTCGTTTTGCTTTCCCAGATGGGTGTTTTTTGCTTCTTCATATTTCAAATCTTTGACTTGATTCTTGGGATCCTCTAGTCTGCTGTTGGATCTCTGTACATTATTTTTACTTTCAATCAGTGTATGTTTAATTTCTGACTGGTCCTTTTTCATTTTTTTTTTTGGCATTCTCATTAAGATCCTTGGTCTCACTAAATTCCTCGGAGGTTTGTAGAAGGTTCTTGAGTAACCTTATAACTGTGTCTTATAGTTGTAGTTTCAATGTTGTTGTGGGGGCAACACGCACAGGTTTATACCTTATGCTGCCATCTTGGTTCCCAATCCTGTTCTCTCATTTATCTTTATTGATTGTCATGTTTGAAGTCTGGGTTTGACTTTATGAAATCTCTAACTTGATTAGATAAGAGTGTGTGTGTGTGTGTGTGTGTGTGTGTGTGTGTGTGTGTGTGTAAGAATCTGAGCAGTGAAAGTAAAGTATAGGGTTTTTGATTTAGGTACTTTAAAAATCTTAAGTCTCCTTTTTAAAAATTGTGAAGGAAATAGTAGAATTAAAAAACATAAATGTCCTTATATTTTCCTAGACTATTATTTTTTTCTCCCAACCCTGTGCTTTATTTTCATACAGAGTGTCAAAGCAGAAAATGAGCCTGAAAATTCATGGGTTTCTACAAATACTCTTATTAAAATAGATAATGTAGTTAAGCCCCGAAGACAAGCTGTGTCAGAAGCTCCTGCTCCCATACCTGGGTATGTTGTTTTGTCATTCTTCCAAGTGTTCCCCGGTACTCTATAGAGGTGTCATTAGACCCAGTAAAATGCTCAGTGACTTCACCTATGAGCTTACATGTGTTACTACCATTCCAATGGCGATAGAGACTATTTTTTGTCCAGTGGAAAGTTCTTTTGTGTCCCTTTGCAGTTAACTTCCACCCTCACCCCAAGCTTTGTCCTGTTCTAATCTATTGCCATAGGTTAGTTGGTTGAATTTCATATACATATGCACTCTTTATCTGGCTTCTTTCACTTAACATACATTTTTGGGGGATTCGTTCGTGTTGTTGTGTATATCTGTAGTTTGGTCCTTTTTGTTTAATATTCCATTGTATGAACATGTCATAATTTATTTATTCATTTTCCTGTTGACATTTGGGTGGCTCCTAATTTGAGGCCATTATGAATGAAGGTGCTGTGAACATCATTGTATGTGTCTTTTGTGGACATATTTTTTCATTTTGGTGGAGGTAAAAGTATCTAAGAATAGAATTGCTGGGTCATATGATAAACATATATTTAACATTAAAATAAACTGCCAAATAGTTTTCCTAAAGTGGTTGTACCATTTTACATTCCAAAAGAGATTTTAAAGAATCTATGAAAGTAGATTCTTAAAAACTTTTAAGGATGTATATTTTATACCAGCAGCTTACACAACTTGAATGATAATATTTAAGTATTTTACCTAATGAAAATGTTTCTAATAATTCTTAATTAATATTTAGGTCTAAGTTAGTTCTGCAGGAAGATGCTTGTAAGAATATGATAAACACCTGCTAAATTTACTATAAATGTGGCTGTTTATTTCTAGTAGGAGTAAGTAATGCAATTTGTAAGAAATTAGAAACCTTGAAAGAATGTGTTCTTATCACAGTCTCTGCTGTTTACTCATTCGCTCATCTCACGCTTATTGACTGGGTGCTCACTGCATTCTGGGTGGTGGAGATAAGACAGTGAGCAGAACTACCCTTGCCTCCACAGACTTCACCTTCTGGAGGAGGAGCCACATCACAAATAATCACACTTAACAGGCTTGATTACAACCTGTGGAAAGGACTGGGAGGAAATAAATGGGAAACACGGGGACATATATCTGAGAAGAACCTCCCTAAAATGGGACCTTTACGTTGAGAATGAGTGGAAGTGTCCTGGGTGAAGAGGACTGTGTAAATGACCAGGTGGCGAGATTGTTGGCCCTGGAGGAACTGAAAGCAGCCCGCAGGCCTAGAGCACAGAAGAGGGGGTGCGCTATGAGCTGAGGCTCCAGAGGGAGGTGGGCAGAGTGCATGCAGGCCACACACGGCCTCGTGTGTCTGGTGTTTATCTGGAATGCTGCTAGAAACCATTGAATGACATGGTGAGATTCAACTACTTACAGAAAAATACTTTTGGCTGTAGTATGGACTACTTTGAAGGGGGAAAGAATACAAGCAGTGAAACAAGTCAGGGGGTATTCTTACACAGTCCAGGGCTCAGATAGTGTCAAGAAAAACGATGAGATATGGACACTTTTTAAGTATATAGGAAGGAAGTTTGAAGGACTCAGTGATGGATTAGACAAAGTCATGAGAAGAAAGGGGGTCAAGGTCAGCTCCCAGATACCGTTCCCTAGCAGAAAATACCTGGAGGATTAAATTTGAGGAGAAAGGGCACAAGTTTATTCTGTATTTATGGAGTCTTCCTATATAATAAAAGGCTAATATACAAATTGTCCCCTCGACTGGGAGTTCCTGACCACGAGTTCAACCAGGAGTTTGACCAGAGGGTGGGGCCGGCCGGCCAACTGCCCGCGGCCCCTCCCCGAGGCCAGCCTGGCCTATTGGCCCTATTGGGGCGGGCAGGCTGGCTGGACCCACCCATGCACGAATTTGTGCACCAGGCCTCTAGTAATAAGATAATTATGAGGTGATTGGATATGCTGCCCAGAGATTCCATCTGAGCTGAGAACCAGATCCAGGAGTCACATAGCTATGAGGTCACTGGATCGCCTGAGATGGGATTGCCTAGTGAGAGTCCATGGGAGCAGTTCGGGATGTTCATGGCCATGCCTTGTGGCATTAGAGGGGAGGGAGTAGAGATGAGCTTGCACAGACTAACCAGCGGCCAGAGAAGTGAAAGTCAGTAGCGTGGAATCTGGAAGCCAAAGCAAGAGGAAGTCATTACCATCAGATGTTGCCGAGAGGCCAGAGCTTGTGTCGCACTTAGTCTGTGTTCTTGTAAAAATAAAGATTGTCAGTGGACTACACTGTGAGAAGTCAGTGAAATAGACCAGGGCCACCTTTTAGAAGCTGGGTTTGAGCTAAGTGGAGAGCAAGACTTTAGTGAGAAAGAGGGTTAGAGGTGGTGCTGCCATCCTGTGTTTAATAGCAACTAATCCCAGTAGCTCTGTAACAGTGCGTGCTGTCAGCATTTTATCTTTACACAACTTAGTTCAATGGCCATTACAAAACTACTTTCTAAGTGCGTTGTAGGGGAAAACACAAATTAAAGCACTACTCCATGATTTAGTATGTCTAAATTGTTTAAATAACTTGATTTTAAATTGGTGACTTTTAAACCTATTTCTAAAGCAGACACCTTGACTTGACTTACCGTGGAGTTTATGCCCCAGAAGATGTGTATCAGTTTCTACCGACTAGAGTGGGGGAATCAAGGTCTTTAAAAGTCAACTTGCGAAATAATTCTTTTATTACACACGCGGTAAGTTGGAAATACTATTGTGGGTTTTAGAAAAAGAAATTATCCAATTATTTGATAAACATTTTCCTGATAATGAAAAGTTTATGTTTTAGATTATAGCTAAGTTGTAATAATGAGTTAATTTTTTAAAAAATATATATTTTATTGATTCTTTTACAGAGAGGAAGGGAGAGGGACAGAGAGATTGAAACATTAACCAGCTGCCTCCTGCACACTCCCCACTGGGGATGTGCCCACAACCAAGGCACATGCCCCTGACTGGAATCGAACCTGCGACCTCTCAGTCTGCAGGCCGACGCTTCATCCACTGAGCCACACCGGCCAGGGCTAATGAGTTAATTTTTAAAATGCCTTAATACCATATTTATAAAGAAACTCATAGGAAGTTCATGACCCTTTATCAGATAAAGTTTATCTGAAAATTAAAAAATTAGCACTTGCTTTCATATTTCTAAAAAACTTTTTCTTTTCGTCCTGTACCATCATAACAACATACTTCTGGATAACACTAGACTAAATACATATTAAAATTCCCCTTTATGCGTTTTTCTTTTTCTTTTTTTGGTTAATCCCCACCCAAGGATTTTTTTCTCATTGATTTTCAGAGAGAGTAGAAAGGAGAAAAAGAGAGAGAAACATTGTTGTGAGAGAGACACATGGATTGGTTGCCACCCACACACATCTCTTCCCGGGCCAGGGATCAAACCTGCAACCGGGTGCATGCCCTTGACCGGGAATCGAATCCGTGACCCTTCAGTGTGCAGGCAGTGCTCTAACCGCTTAACACACTGGCCAGGACTCTATTTATGTGTTTTTACGAGCATTTATTGTCTTAATTTTGTGGCTCCACTTAAATTTGCAAATGTAAATTTATGTTCAAATATCTAACTTGCATAACTTCATAAAGTATTTCATATTAAATTGCAGCTGAAGTTTTTAAGTCCCAGAGAGCCTTTCTACGTCAAGCACTCAAAATATTCTTTGAGGTGAGTTTATCATAAGTCAAACTGTTCTTACCTGGTGCAGGAATTTGTTGTCAGGACATCAAGATTTCTCATGGGAGTGAGGACTTGTGAGGCCTCCCTCTCTGGCAGCCCCTCATCTTCATCCCCAGCACCAGCGAGCAGTGAACACAGGGATCTTCTTCAATAAGAAAGGGGATGAGCTGAAGGGAAAGCACTTCATGGCTGACTCCTGGTGTGCTTCACCGTGTGGCTACCCAGACTTCACCTTGTGTCTTGGACTTAACATATGATTCCTTTTACCCGGTGTTGTGCCAGCCACTTACATACATACAACCTTAATTATCTTGTGAGTAACTTTAGAATGATTCCTGCTTCAAATATTATTTTTACTGTGCTGAGAATCAGCAATTTAAATTTTCACTAATTTGGACAAAATTAGTATTCCAGATTAATTGGGAAAACTTTCATTATGGTATTTTTCAGTTGTCATTCTTCAAATACCCTATATTATTCTCAAATCAGGGCCTCATTTCCTAATTGTCATTGCTAATTTTCTTTTTCTCCATTTAAGTTGAAATCTCAAACTTGTTTGTCCCTGTTATTTAAGTTCTGTTGGACTTACCACTGAAGAGTAATTTTATCTTCATCTTTAATTATTATAAGGTCTTTCATTTTAGCATTAGGAGACTATTTAAAAAACATGTTTTGTTCTAAGAGAACTCGAACCACTCAGCAAACGTTCTGGACTGTCTTTACTGAGTCCCTGAGACAGCAGAGCTGTACTCGGAGCTTACACATAGAGCTAGGAACTGCAAAGGGGTTGAACTTGTTGACGTACCATTCCAGTGCTAGAAAATTTTAAGCTGTCATACATTAGAACACTGCTTTTCAGTGCAGCCCTAGCTGCGTAGTCATGTTAATAGCATCTAAAAGAACTTAGAAACATGGGAAAATATTTTTAATTTGAGTAAAATTGGAATAATTTACATATAATAGCATTGGAAATAGTATCATAACTTACATTTTGTTTGCTTTGAACATGTACTCTTTGAACATATTACTTTAGAATATTTCTAAATGTTTATGCTTTGAAGATAAATAAGGTACTTTTATACTTTATTAGTGACAGCTCATTATTCTGAACACGAGTTTCCAGAAAATTTTCATCCATATTAACTGTCATTATGGAACTTAGGATAAATATGTAATGTCACAGATTCAAGCATCAACTCTCATAGCAGCAGCTCAGTATAACTTTGATAAGAATGAGAAAAACTTGTGGCCCTAGCCGGTTTGGCTCAGTGGATAGAATGTCGGCCTGCAGACTGAAGGGTCCCAGGTTTGATTCCAGTCAAGGGCACATGCCCGTGTTGAGGGCTCAATCCCCAGTAGGGGGCGAGCAGGAGGCAGCTGATCAATGAGTCTCATCAGTGATGTTTCTATCTTTCTCTTCCTTTCCCTTCCTCTATGAAATCAATAAACATATATTTTTATTTTTAAAATATATTTTATTGATTTTTTACAGAGAGGAAGGGAGAGAGATAGAGAGCCAGAAACACCGATGAGAGAGAAACATCGATCAGCTGCCTCCTGCACATCTCCTACTGGGGTTGTGCCTGCAACCAAGGTACATGCCCCTGACCGGAATCGAACCAGGGACCCTTCAGTCCGCAGGCCGACGCTCTATCCACTGAGCCAAACTGGCTAGGGCTAAAAATATGTTTTTAAAAAATCCCACAGACCTGTGTGTAAAGCACTAACTATGATCTGTTTAACCAAATGAGTAAACTGTAGCTTGTAGGGTGTTCTCATCCTTTCTTAGGTAAGGATAAGTACCTGCTTTTGCAGATGCAATAGGAAGCTCCATACACAATGGTCAGAACTTTGATTTCCTCTTTCCTACTTTTATTAGCCAGGAATACATATGCAGTACTTTTTGAATTAGATCTTAGATTTCTCTCTTTGTGCCAGTTTTGTATTAAATAATAACATCAGAGAAATGAGAAATACATTTAGGTTGAATGTAACTGGACTAGGTTCTCTGCCAGGCATTGTGCAAGTGATCTGTTTGTTGCCGCGGCATCAGCTGCTGACATTTTCCTTTCTCTCTGCAGAGCCCAGCATTACATCAACATGCCCGTGCAGTTCAAACCAAAGGCCGCAGGCACATTTGAAGCTTTGCTTGTTGTTCAGACTGATGAAGGCAAGAGTGTAGCTATTCGACTAATTGGTGAAGCTCTTGAAAAAATGAACTAGAACACATATTGTGTACAGTAAATGTCCTAAGTTATATTTTGGTAACTTCATTTTTCTACACTACAATTATGCTTCTGTATATATTTTGTATGATAAATTCGATGTATAAAAAATATTTGATGTATAAACAGTAGATTTTTTGTTGTTTTGAGAAGCTAATACTGAAGATGTAACTAAAATATCATGTATTCTAGCCTATATAGTATTGTAGCTAATTTTTGATGGGAGAAGAGAATTCTATTTTTTAATTGATTATGATATTCTGAATAAAGATGGTATATATTTTATTGTGCTATATCTAGAAATAAAGTTAATTTTCACTGAACTTGTCTTTTTTTATATGATGTCATATAGAAATCAGAATATCGCTTCATTCTAATTACTTCCAAGCTCCTGGGTTGATTCTGTGATTTTTCTCTTCCATTGCATAGTTTCCTTTCCCCTAACAAATTCCTTCCCTTTTCCTCCTGCCCCGTAAGCTAATTTCCCAGAGTAAAGAAGGAAGCTTACTTTTAATGAAATTGTTTTCCTCCATTGGAAAAAGTCTTCATATTTTATGCAAATACATTGGAGAGGTTGATGTATTTTAAGATAGCATTTATTGTAAGTAAAGCCAGACAGGACAACTGCTCCAGAACCGTGTAGCAGGGCCCTCTGCAGACACTTACCCTGAGATCAGGGCAGTGAGACACTGAGCAGTCAGAAAAATGCTTCCGATGTGACGTGAGCCGCGGCAAGGAGGGAGGCGGAGAAGGTGACATGGGTACCTGGTTTCACCCAGGAGGAACATGCTGCTTGACTGCTTCTCAACCATTACCAGTAAGTCTCCTGATAAAAATTTCTGAGCCTCAGCGAACAGCCTCTCCTTAGGAGCAACAGAATCCCAGCCTGTGAGCATTTGTGGGGTGGGTGGGGTGACCACTGTGGGATGTTACTGATGGAGCAGCAAGAGCGCAGAACAGGTGAAAAGCTGCCTAGGTGAACTGAACCCAGGAGCAGTTTAGAACCAATGGCTGTGAGCCTGAGATAGAAAAACCAATTCCTTCTTTTCACCTCATTTTTTTCTCGTGCTTAGAAACACAATTTGTGAAAACAGTTTTCACAAGTGAAGTACTTACTGGTTTCACTGATACTGTCCTCCAATTTTAGGTGTTGTTCATCAATTGTGAGATCCCTTCATGTTTGAATGTGCATTTATTTGATAAGTCACCCTCAAAAATTTTAAAACTGGCATTACTTTTAAAAAATGTAATGTTTTGCCTAGCTGGTGTGGTTCAGTGGATGAGCATCAACCTATGAACCAGGAGGTCACGGTTTGATTCCTGGTCTGGGCACATACCCGGGTTGTGGGCTCGATCCTCAGTGGGAGGCATGCAGAGGTAGTTGATCAATGATTCTCATCGTTGATGTTTCTCTCTCCCTCTCCCTTATTCTCTGAACTCAATAAAAATATATTTTAAAAAATGAAAATGTAATGTTTCCATTTCTATGTAACCATCATTTTGCCTTTTAGGTGATACTCAGGAGGTTGTGAAAAAGAAGGGTTAAACAAGCAAAGACTTGAAATGTGACTCCTTTCATAGATGATGTACTTTTATGGATATGCATTTCTTTCTACGCCTTCCTGTTTCAGAAACATGATGCTCAGAGTTTTCAGAGTAATTGGATGTGAACCAAAGATTCGTTACAATCGGTCATCGCTGCTAACGCAACCAGACCATTGGCTGTAATCGAATGTGTAAGAGCATCTCATAGGCAAGGCAACAGAATAAGCTTTCCTTTCGTTAGCTTCTCACCTAGAAGCCGCTTTCTCTTCCTTTCCATCCGTTTCCAACTGTGGACGTTTCCACTTGGTTATCGAGTAGGCATCTCACACTTTGTGTTCCCTCGCTGCCTCAAACATGTTCTCTAACTTCCCTTATCTCAGTAGATGTCACCCTATCCGTCTAATTATTCAGCTAAAACCCTAGGTTTTGTGTCTTTTACCCTCATAATAAAACTGATAAATGTTTATTGAGTGCTTCCTATGTAATAAGTAATGTCCTCAATGCTCTATATACACTGTCATCCACTATTCCAGTGATGGCGAACCTATGACACGCGTGTCAGAGGTGACACGCGAACTCATTTTTTTGGTTGATTTTTCTTTGTTAAATGGCATTTAAATATATAAAATAAATATCAAAAATATAAATCTTTGTTTTACTATGTTTGCAAATATCAACAAATTTCTATATGTGACACGGCACCAGAGTTAAGTTAGGGTTTTTCAAAATGCTGACACGCCGAGCTCAAAAGGTTCTCCATCACTGCTCTATTCCCAATAGCTTTACCGACATGGACCCCTTTTTGGTGGGGAGGCCTCCCTGTGGCTGCAGCCTGCAGGTATCCAGGAGGGCCCCTGGGGACGGGTGGGGGGTTGATAGTTGGCCATGGGTGGGGCTGAGCATCAGGAGAGGCTGCCCTGGGAATGCCTGGTGTAGGTGCGCAAACTCGGGTCCTAACCTTGGCTTTTCTGACGGTGCCAGCTGCAGATAATAGAAACTGTTATTGAAGCTCATAATTAGAGAAAATGTAACTGATAACTGTCTGCTCTTAAAAGTTTTATTCTCTCTGGTTGTAAAGCAACCCTGAGATGGCAAATTAGCATGTCCTGCCTGGGCTAACACATTCGGTAACACACAACCAGGCAAGACCTAAAGTTCTGTAGAACTCGGTGATGATTAATGTGCATCATCACTGATTTAATTAGCCCAGAAATGAGACTGGATAAAAGGGCATCTGTTTTGTGTCTTCAATTAAACTCTGAGGTGGGGATGATTTTATATGTATACAATACGTATACTTTATGGGACACAGATCTCTGGGAAGAATTAAATTGGTCTGTTTCTCACAAAGATAAACTTGTTATCACTGCTTTTAATTTTTTAAAAAATATTTTATTGATTTCAGAGAGGAAGGGAGAGGGAGAGAGAAACATCAATGATGAGAATCATTGATCGCTGCCTCCTGCACACCCACTACTGGGGATCAAGCCTGAAACCAGGCATGTGACCTCGACTGTTTTTGAACCTGGGACCCTTCAGTTTGCAGGCCGGTGCTCTATCCACTGAGCCAAACCAGCTAGGGTTCTGCTATTTTTTTAAATGGCTTTCCTCCCTTTTTAATTCAGTAGTTTCTAACTTTTTATATTTAACTTGGTAGGTTATGGTATTTTATAAAGGTTTAATGCAAACCGTGTTTTGAAGTGAAAATCGATTTTCCCTGCATCTTCCTAAGTGAGATTTTTAAAATAAATGTCCATTTGGTGAAAACTAATGTGTCAGTCTAAAGATACATTCTTGTCCACAACACAGTGTGTATACCCAACCTGGTTAAGAGCTACAGGTTTCATATTGTGGATTCCCAAATTCTAGCCGCAGACTCATTTGGGATCCAAAACAATTTATTTTTCAAACTTTAAACAAAGTGTATCATTTTAGATAGCTGGTCAGCTATTATTGAATTTCAAAATGCCACACTCTGAAGTCCCACAGCCACCGGCCAGCTTCCTGCCAGTTCCCCTGTGTAGTATCACTGTCTCATTAATGTGGACTTCCTGCCCCAGACCTCTTCTTAAATCCCCCAATCCCACAGGCTCACATTTTTGGACATTGTTTGGTAGCACTACTTCCTCTGTCATTGTTAACAGGTTAAGGACAAGTCAAAGTAGTGGTAATAAACAGTTCAAATAGTAAATATCCTTTATTTTAAAGAGAATGGTTGGTTCACTTGTTTTTGTGTTTTTATTCCACTTTCTATATGACCTTAGTCTGGATAAGAGAGTGAGCAGGCATTCAGGCCTGTGACGCTGTAAAAGTAGTTGTGTTGCATATAAGGATTATTAGAGTAAGGAACGTGGTGGCTGTGACAGGCAGCTTCTAAGATGGCCCACAGTGATCCCGCCTCCTAGTCTTCATGGTCTCATGTGATCCCCTCGACTTGAGTAACTTGCTTCTGCTCCCTCCTCTCCAGCCTGCTTTCCCCTCACTGGCTCTTTCACAGGCATGCCCACCCTCTGGGAATGGGCCTAACACCTCCCCTTTCGTTCCTACCTGCCTTCCAGGTCCTCAGGGCAGATGGGTAACTGTGTTGAACAATTTTCTGTTGGGTGCCCTGTGTTGAGGTCCACACATTCAGCCAGAAGTGCCGTGGGGGCAGGTCCAGGGCTCCTGGTTCACCTCCGAAGCCTCAGTGCATAGAGCACAGATGGCTCTTGGTAGAGTTTCATACGTTTTGAACGAATGGATGCAGCAGCAACGAGGTTTCTGTCTTAATAGTTCAATGGAAATATCAAGAGCATACGGATAATATAATAACAGAAATGGAAGGGCCCTTGTTTAACATAATAATAATTTATTTATGTCACAGGCCAAAAGCAAATCGTGCACGTGGAGAAGTGCTGCCGTCAGGAGCAGGCCACGACTGTTCATACCGTGTCTGTCCGTGGTGAAGTCCCTGGAGGGAAACCTGATTGCGCTGGTGCAGATAAGAGAGTTCGGTAATGTGAGCAGCCTTCCTATATAAGAAAATAGTAATGGGCAGTCAGAAAATATAATGGAAGAGAAAATAAAACACCTGGGAATAAATGTGTGACACGCATATGAAGGAAACTTTGGTCATACTGTGGGACAGAAGGAGACTTGAGTAGGAGGAAGGACTTGCGCCTGCTTCCCCACGCTGCGTGTATCTGTGACATGCGTCAGACCATGTGTGACTGGTAAAGGCCGCAGTGGTGACTGTGACTCAGAGATGCTTGGCTCAGATAGTGTTTCCCTTGAGAACTAATGCTTTGCGCTCCATGCTGGTGGCTCCCAGCCCCTCTCACTGGGAATTCCAGACATGGTGAAAGCCCACCATCGTCGTCCCTGGCATCACTGTGATTTTCTTCCTGTTTATTGAATTTATTGGGGTGACACTGGTTAACAAAATTATACGGTTTCAGGGTGCAGAATTCTACAACACATCTGTACACTGTGTTGTGTGTTCAGCACCCCAAGTCATGTCTCCATCCATCACCATTTATCCCTTCTATACCCTCCTCTGCCTCCTCCTATTCCCCAAGGCAATCACCACACTATTGGCCATGTCCATGAGTTCCTTCTTTTTTTTTTCTTTTTTGCTCAATCTCTCCACCCCCCCCAACAGCTGTCAGCCTGCTCTCTGTCTGTGAGTCTGCCTCCATTTTGCTGTTAGTACATTTTGTTCATTAGATTGCACACATGAGTGAAATCATATGGTATTTGTCTTTCTCTGACTGGCTTATTTCACTTAGCATAATACTCTCCAGGTTCATCCATGCTGTCTCACAGGGTGAGATTTCCTTCTTTACAGCCAAGTACTATTTCATCGTGTAAATGTACCACAACTTTTTTTATCCACTCATCTACTGATGGGCACTTGGGTTGCTTCCAAATATTGGCTATTGTAGACAACGCTGCAATGAACATAGGGGTGCATATATTTTTTTGAATTAGTGTTTTGGGTTTCCTCAGGTAAATTCCCAAAAGTGGAATCGCTGGGTCATAAGGTAGTTCTATTTTTAATTTTCTGTGGTAACTCTCTACTGCTTCCCATAGTAGCTGCACTAATCTGCATTCCTACCAACAGTGCACAAAGGTTCCCTTTTCTCTACATCCTCATCAGCACTTGTTTGTGGATTTATTGATGGTAGCCATTCTGACAGGTTTGAGGTGATATTTCATTGTGGTTTTGATTTTCATTTCTCTGGTGATTAGTGACATTTTCACGTGTCTCCTGGCCATCTGTGTCTTCTTTGGAGACCTGTCTATTCCATCACTACGTTTTGAGTTGAGCTCGCCACTGGCTCTCCACCTGCCCTTTCTTTGCTCTTGCCTCAACCTTAGAGACCCCCATTCATC